TTGTACTCTGGTGTGCTGCTGACACTTGAGGCAATGTTTTGTGCTCGATCATACCAGAATCGATGGAGCTGGCCATGTTGATCATAAAGGCTCGGTGTCGTTGCTGGGTCAATAAGTCTAAACCATCGACTCAAAATGTGCTGAACCTTATCCAACCCTACTTTATAAACCATTCTGCCGTGTTTGCCTTTCCATACCGTCCTGTACTGCTCGTTGCTCAGTTCCAGAGAGAGCAAAGCCTCGAGTCTCTTCCAAATATGGTTTACTTTGTATGTATATATGTCTGACACACTGAAGCCATAGTCTTGGGTCAATTGTTGGAGTATGCATTGAGGATCCCTTGATGTTATTCCAATTTTAACAAACTCAGGGTGCCCTTCAACGAGACCGAAATAGATTACCCATACTGGATCATTGCTGTTTTTAACCCCAAGCGGTCTCTGTAGAGTAGATATGAGAGATCGGTCAATCTCGGTAGTAGTGAGTTCTCGATGGCGCCATGGTATGAAATGTATGTCGTCGGTAAAAAGCTGAATATTTGCACTGATTGCGGTTGCTTCATGCATGGATGCATCCCAGTTCTGGTATAGACCGGACTGTAAGCTGCAGACATGAATGTGAGATTTAATTCGAATACAATAGCTCAAGAGACTCACCTGCTCTGGTACGCATTTTGGTTTTGTTCTGTTCCAGCTTGATCTGTCAAAACAGCTGCAGCGTTCCCACTATTATTGATATCAAGGGGCTCAATCTGCTGAATCCAACGACTGAGCTCTCCAATCAAGGCGATAAATCCAGGGTCATTCTTGTTCTCAAACTTTGTCATGCCCACATGGTTATCATGAATGCCAATTGATGGATACCCAGGTATTATTGCTGATTGCAATGGAACAACCTGGGAACTCGTATATGAGTGCGCTGAGCTAGAAACTTATATATAATAAAAACGGACTTACTGGTCCAATTCCAGGAAGAGGGAGCTCTTCATAGAAGCATGTGATTTTCAAGCCTTTCCCATGGATTTCGTATCGCGACCGGATAAATGCATGAAAACTGTTTTGGATCCTGGCAAGCACTTCTGATTCTTGCTTAAGAACTTCCAATATTTGTGAGTTTGCTTGTTTAAAGAGATTGATAGACTTAGCGAGCTTTTCAGCCCACTGAGCCAGACCTGACCCATTATGGGGTGTTCCGAAAAATATAATCCCGAAGGTACATTGGGCGAGTTTGTGGATATGAGTGTCAGGATAATGTTGGGAAGTGGTAAGGGCCTAGAAACTGGTCAGGTACTAATGCAATTAGTTATTGCATGATGTAGTACTTACATCCTGACAAACTATTCCTCCTAAGCTATGACAAACAAATATAATTGGACGTCCATCCTAAATATATCAGCTATTTTCTCATCCTGGTCCTTTATCACTTACAGTCTTATCTTTCTCCCGCCAGGTAGCCAAAGCTGTAAGTAGGTTCATTGCATGGTTCCCAACCCTACTGAACGAGACCATATGACGCCAGTCCGCTACATAGGCATCATACCCAAATGTGAGTATCCGCGCGTTGTGGATCTCAGCAGGCAGCAGGCGCGTGGGCCAAGGACTGGTGCTACTTGACGCCCTCCAGGTTCTCTCTCGGTCGCCAGTTAGGCCATGGATCAAAACAATACTTTTAGCATGTCAGCTTGTTTTCATTTTTGACATGGCGAAGTAGCAGTTTAATCAGATGCTCAGTACTCTACAATAGGCTGCACTGCCCCTTCAGCCAGCAACTTCAAGCCTGAAGGGAAATTGTTTTCCCTTGA